ACCTCGGCGTCTCTCTGCCAATCGCCTCCGCACCTAGTGCTTCCGTCGCCCGCTGCCGCCTCAAATCCAGGATACAGCTGAGAACGCCATGAATTCTTCTACGACACCAGAATAGCAAAGACAACAGCCACAATCTGACTCTCGCTGTGTCATTACTGCCAATTGCAAATCGGCCATAGATGCCCACCAGCTGAGCCGCGCGTTGTGCAGATTTCGATAGCGTCGATGAGAATCAAGGCGTTTGCCCAACATACCTCCCCAGGTAACATCCCTTGTATCCGGCCGCGAAGTTAACCCAGAATGTGATCCTCGCCCTTTGTCTCTCGGCGAAGCAACAAACGTCGTCCCTAGACATCATCCATAGGCTCCCCAGGAATTCCCGACGTCAATACAGAGCTAAGCCGGATCAGACCAGCTTCCCCCGCCGTAATAGCGCGGGCAAGGGGGCGTGGAAAATCAATCTCGAGGTTCCCACGAGGGGGAGGAGAAGAATACACGCGTTTTGTTTCTCATCGGAATACTAGCTTTCGAGATCAAATGTCACTCTTGGCCTTGCTTGTCAGCTGAGAGGTACCTATTCTCACAGTCTCGGCCCCATCCTCATGGGCCAACCTTTGCTGCGGATACACTGCGCTACTTCGCACGCTACGCCTGCGATGCGTATCTTTTCATGTTCCTGCTGTTCGCCGCCTGTCCACACGCTTTCCCAACCTGCCTCATGCGGATGTTCAGCCTGCTGATAGGTGGGAATTGCAACCTTCGCCAGGAGATGGGCTGAACGGGCTGGAGCTACTGCGGTTCGCTTCTTCCTCGCTTTTCCATGTTTCCCTACAGGCTCCCCCTCTTTCGACCCCTGGTCCTGTCTAGCTCTCAGGAACAGGGTGTCACTGTACCGGGGGTGCCTAGCTCCCCAATATGTCTCTTTGGTAAACCCACGATGCTCGCTGCCCGTGGCTCCTGGAATAACCACCCTCCCACCCCTGTCGGTTCATCCCAGGTCCCGGTCGATGACCCGCCCTTCCTATCGCCGCCTCTTCTGGGCGCTGCTCAGAATGGGCGGGTGAACTCCGCTGCTTTTGTGGCTGCTGCGGTTCGTATTGAACCGGCCGGCTGGCTGGCTGGCTGTTTGCTGTACTAAACTTGCTCGCTTCTGCGTCCCAGTTCTGTTAGTCCCCATCTGCGAGGAGCATGGGACCCGGCTCCCCCAGTCCAACTCGAACCCGTCCACCACCAAGTCCCAACACCAGTCGAGGTCCCATCCCGCATCTCACGGATATATATCACGGTGCCTCCGTCTCCATGTAACCATTCCCTTTGCCTCCCTCCTTTCCCCTTCCCTCATCCACCGACTTCCTACCAGATCCATCCAATCAACTCCCATCCATCTCTTAGGACCTCAGTCGATCGTCTCCTCCAACCGTCAAAATGAAGGCCGCCGTCATCTTCTCCCTCGTCAGCTTGGCTCTCGGCTCCGTCGTCGAGAAGCGCGCCTGCGCCGGCAACAACTGCAACCGTCAGGTCACCGGTACCCGTGACGGCCTCCTGCCCATCACCTCCCGCCAGGCCGACTGCTCTTCCTTCATGCAGGCCACCGTCACTCCCTCCCCTACGTATGTCGACACCTCTCCATCAGTGTAATTGCTTGGTGATTTATTGTAAACTAACTCTCTTCATCCAGGACCGTCACCGTTACCGTCACTGCCGCTCCCGCCCGTCTCCGCCGCAACGGCGAGATCGCCAACCGCCAGGTCACCGCTCTCCCTACCCTCATTCCCGCATACGCCTCCTCATGCGGTGACTCTGCTGCTTACTCCTCCGCCTGCGCTTGCTGGGGCATCACCGCTGTCACTACCACTGCGCCCAAGCCCACCGTCACTGTCACCACCACTGTTGACTACTGCGAGGGTGAGTTCTTGCCATATATTCCAGCTAGCAGAAGGTTTCATGATGCTGACTCGTGACAGACTTGTAAACGTCGCGTTCGACGTGAAGATGGAAAGGTTAAGGGGATGAGAAAGGCCCTTCGTCAGTTTCTCGAGGCTCAATATTGAGGGAGGGAAAAGGCATGAGACTGTGGGAGGAGGCCCCAGTCGAGCTTGTATAGGAACGCACGGTCACCGCCGCCGACTCCTTCGGATTTCGCAGAGATCCCCTCGATTACGAATTCAATGGACTTGATCACTCATTCATTCAATCTCTTTGGGACCCTGCTTGTAGCCTTCATCACACTTTTGCCTGTTCCGACACGTATGAGCCTTGGGAAGCGGGCGATATTTGAAGGGTCTTGTGGTTTGGATGGATTTATTACGAAGGAAAAATGTTAATGACCGGTTTGATGGCAGACATGACAATCAGCTCTGGCTGGCATTAGTCTGTCACTGTTATGATATTCACATTCATGTGTAATAATTAAGACTAATTCGTCCTTACTTCGCAAAACACTGCCTGATGACTTAACGATTGCTGATGGATGCTCGAGCATTGAGGTGCTTTCAAGTTTTACAGCTGTCGATGCTTGAGACAAGGGCACTCATCGAATGAGACAAGGCAGCCGTAATGACAAGAGGTATCCATCAGTCCCAGATGGCATGTCTCTGACCAGCCTCACTTACTTATTCGCGAACCATGTTTTACACAATTGAGTCTTGTCCGAAAGGAAGGGTAAGTGAGCATTTATTGCTTATCCCTAGCCTTACTCATTACTTCTTTTCTTCTTTGAAATCTTTTGATTCAGTTCCCATGTCTATAGGATCTACAAAGATTCTGTGCGAGTTTAAGCCGCAAGTTTTGACTCCTCAAACGTTAATCGAGCCGCAGATTGCGTGATACCCGTCCCCCACGGAGGCCCCTCGCCGGACGGGGCACGTTATCCCATGACGCCGCGCAAATGGGTCGCTGTCAATGTCGATCTTTTCTTTCCATCCGAACTCTGTTTCGAGGTTACCCACACATGTTCCCAGCATTCCCCAGAAAATGTTTCGAAACACGTACATCCCACCGTAGCGGGTAAGCCCCCACAAAGTTGCGGTTGTCTTTCCCGCGTGGCTTTCGTCAGGGGTCCCGGGTAATGATTGTGATAGTATTAGTCGGAGCCCACTGTGCCCGGATCATCCCTCGCGTCAGATGCAAGCGTTACGATTCATCAGCTCAGAGCAATGAATTTCGTAGTATTTATACCGAATGTCTGTGATTACGCAACAACAAAGGCCAACTAAACGAGGCTTCGTCACCTTGTTAGTATTTCTCACGATCACCGCCCACAACCCGTTGTAGGTGCGCGTCGCACGACAGACTCGTGCATGTGGTCCATCGCCATGCTTTACAAAACCCGAGACATTGCTCTCACTTTCTTCAGTCCCGCCCTCGACGCCACTTGCTGTCTGCCGATGTCTCCCTTGGTCCCCTTCGTTAGTGTCCTCTCGCCCTGCAACCAATACTCTTCCCGATCGACGCCCTTCCCTTCGACCCTAAGCTGGTGTTCTACATTCCCATCAGCCTAGAAACGCCCCCTTCCGAAGTCATGCTTATCAGCGCGTCGGCACAAAGGAATAACCTTGATGATAGGCTTACACCATTTCTCGACAACGTCAACTCAACCGTGATGCCGGTGGTCCCGTGGGGTAGTGAACATTCCAAAGGCCAGCACAACGTTTCTCTCCTCTCGCGGCGAAGCAGACGAGCGTCGTCATCAATAGTCTCAGCTAGCCTCTCGCGCATGCCCGCCCGCCGCCCGCCGGTCCGCTCCCGGCGGCAGCTGACGACATCGACGAGCGGGGCGCGGGTCCGAGCCACGTCGACAGTCTCGGGATCATCAGCCCCTTGTCTACGGCGTATTTCTAACAGATGACTACCATCGCTTCTCACCTGTGTCTCTAACAGCCAACCCTGACAACCGATTGGGGCCACCTCATCACCTGGTTAAGCTCGCATCGAAGGCGCAACTGTGAGTTGTTCTGGCAACGTTCTCGAACCCAGCGGCAGTGAACTGAACGTTGTGATGGGAGTAAAAGAACTCATGGGAAGCTCAGGCCCGCTGGGGACAACATGTGGTTATCGTGAAGACCTCTTCTCTCGGATCTCACAATGTGGCGACCCATATAATTATCCTCAATAGCGTTCGTGTTTGCTATCGTGGACTGCACCACTGTCGGTACCTGGGGTAAGTGACTGCGCCCACATAGGACTGCATGGACATAAGGTACTTGTACGGGCTCACTGTTTATATAGTAGATCGACATGAGAAGGTCTAAATGGCAATAAGAGTCCCGTTTCTTTCGCAGCCTTGGACGGCTTCAAAAGTCTCGAACTAGAACCAACCAATCCGTCTTGAATCTTGATTTGAGCGTCCGTGCTATAGCATCACTCTAGGTCCTGCGTCTTCGGATAATGTGGAGATACAGCTTGATTTCCCAATAGGGTCATCTCGATAATAAGCTATGTTACCTATTATCTAACATCCAAGGTGGAGCAACTGCCATCAGGCCCCTCGAGCCTGATAGATATGCCAAGTTGAGACCGAGATCAATTTCTACTACTCTTCTCGAAGAACAAAACCATAATAACTCTGAACCTCGTATGAACGAAGCCACCGAAAGCTTAGGATCTCCGTGTCTGCCAATCCTATTACTTATCGCACCGGGACATCGACTTCCGTCGACTACCACAAGAGCCACTTCAACAGTTCTCTGAATCGTGCCATTACAGAGCCCACATACCCAAAGTGACGCTCTGTTGAGAACTCGACTGGTGCGAAGTACTATTCTTCTTCCATCGTCATCTGCTTAAGGGGTTCATACATTGGACGCCAAAACTGATTCCAAGCCTGTGCGAACTGCTCGGCGGACGGGAATTCACTTATGCCACCAATTATTTGGGACCAAGCCAACAACTGCTTCGCACAGGCATTTGATCCAGCAAAACATTTCAACCAGAAACATCTAAAACTGCGTCAGCTCCATATTTCCATGTATGGTCCAAGGTAGATATTTGTTGAACTCGGCTCACTCGTGGAACTGTCTTGCTTCGGTCCAGCGCATAGTCTCGGTAGCGACCTTACACACCCACACGCAGTTGACCTGTGCATTGCGGTGTTAGCCAGAGGGGTAATCATGGTTCATGGGAAACTTCTCTCAAGGAAAGATGCGAGCAGATAACAATGAGAAGTGCTATAGCTGATGTTTTTGACACGTCAAGAGAATGGAGTTACTCACGCAGTACGCAAATGAGTCAGTCATGGCTGGAGGGTCAGCCCTTCCGGTGAGATTGAGGGCAACGTCACGGATCTCGACGTCCGTCGTTCTAGTGAGGCCGAGAAAAAGAGCGAGTCAGTAATTTGTACCTCGAAAACAAGGTTCGACTGAAGCTATTAACAGCCTCTCTTAATCACTTCATGTACTTACTGTGATTCACCATCACGTAGCCAGTTCGAGATGCCATCTTGCCTTTCTCCGGATCCGACAATCAGTTTGGCAAAAGTGGCCCTTCCGGTGTTAATTGAGTCGAGCAGCATTTCATCGCTGTTTGGGGTGGTAATGGCTGGCTCCGACACGGTTCTCTTCAGTTCCTGGTCCTCAGTACCACTGGTGATACTCCGGGTACTACGGTCGTCGATGACGCCTGCTAGTGCCAGGGAGAGACACAAGACATGGCAAATAAAGATTTTGAAGAACTGCATATCGTAATCTTCTGAAGAGATCGGGTGATACAGGTAATGTTGGCAATGAGGTAGATGATGCTGTAGTTCTGTTGTGACACTACCTCAAGGTTCTTGGGAACCAGAGCATATTATATAGTCGAGGTTTCACGGCTGATGCCGTAGCTCCGATAATCTCATCCCAGATAGAGGTGCTCCAGTCGGGAAACTTCCGCTGGCTGAGATTTGACCGAACAGATACCAATTCCTCAAATTCCCAATTTGTGTTCTGAGTCCTCAGACCTACACCTTCGCACGCCTATCCTTGAATGCCTCGTTCTTTTGACCTTGAGACACGGATTTCCCTCCCGTTCGAGGGATTGAAACACCTGGAAGCGTCATTTCTGGACGACACATGAGGGTCAGGAGATATGAAGTCAACACCCAGACAGCGTTGTTTGTGCGTGTATGCATCATGTTGTCTTAGGTTGAAAGCATCCCGCAAATTTTGATCTTGATGTGTTCATCTGATGTCTTTGCCTCTCCGAGATTAACATGTTACATGCGTAGTGACACAAACTTCATCTTTCAGTGAGGCTCCGAGTGAGGGGGCCGAAACAAAAGCCTGCATCCCGGAATAGTTTGTGGCACGGCGGGTAAAGTTACTCTAACCAATTTGCAATCGAAGAAGTAACCATCGACTTCTCAAGTCACGCACTAGCTTAAGCGTGCAAGCTGGGTAATGATCTGGCGATATGTATGCCGAGATGAGCCGGAGGTAGCGAGGAGAAAATACGCCTTTACTTAACATCGTGATAAACAACAATGAATGCAATCTATCAAGGAGCCGAGGCAAACAGTTGAGAAGAAAACTCGCAATCAATACTGGCAGAACGACAGGCTCATGCGTTTAAGCCATGAAACCTCTGAACAAAGGAACTTCAATACTTCGTTGTTTGCTTAATCAAGACTATATCTTCCTTTAAGTGAGGTTGGTTTGCTGTGGGCTTCGTAATTATATGTTTGCCAATCCAGCTTATCACCAGATTGACAATCATCACAGCAAAGACGCTTGGAGCCAAGAGAGGTCCAGCGTCAAACTTCTTTCGTTGATTTTACTTCACAGTTGATTGACTATCAGGCAGCAAAAGAAATGTTCCGCTTTGAGTGCGATAACATAGACATCAGCCTTGTCCAACTCCGCACGCACCACGAGATCGAGGCGGCAAAATCATCTGCATCTACTAGTTTGTCTGATGTTTGAGGATGGTCGCTCTTGGATGGCGCAGTCATCCCACAGAAACCAAGAATAGCTGGAAAATTACTATCCCAGGAACATCTTATCTCGAATCAGTCCGAGTCCACGTAGTGAGCACTCGTATCTATATAAGTTCTTATCCTATGTCATCTCCCACTCTCTTTGTCAATGTGTCTCTCATCCACTCATCTCATCGAGAAAATCCCCTCGTTTTTGGCTCAATAACTTCACTCTCAACAATATGAAGCCCACTACTTTTCTTGCCGTTATGGCGATTGCCGGATCCGGTGTCAATGCCGATTGTTTCCCCAAAGGCATGATCGGCCACTATGGCACATGGCTCAAGCAGAAGGTTACAGCCGTGGGCGCGGACCGCCTTTCTCTTGTCTGCATGGCAATAGCCGGTGCAGCTAAAGAGGCTTTCGTTGGTGAGGAGAGTCGGACATTCTGCATGCAGGAGCAGGACGGCTTGAAGTGGGACTTTTCCATCAAGGTAGGTTACACAGCGATGTCTTGCAGTCTAGATCTCGCTTTCTGCTTTTGATTCCAAGGAAGGTATTCTAACATGTATTTATAGAACCTGAACAGCGGCAATCGAGTTCTAGGACAAGCCGAATGCATGTCTGGGCTGTCGAAGGAGGCCTATAATTGTTATAGAGGAGGCAGGACATCCTATTGGAATTGGGAATACGCGTAAGTTCGTCCTCGGCCCCTTATCTTCACGGTAACCCCAAAAGAATTCTTGCTGACACGCGTCTTATAGTTCCGACCCCAATGCTGGCAGCTGCATGGGGAAATAATCAGGCGGACCTGGTCGCTCTCTCTCTCTCTCTCTCTCTCTCTTTTGATCCCGCGCCTGTATTGTCTTTCTCTTCCTTCATTCGCCTGATATATGTATACCAGAAACTTCTCATCTACTTAGTACTATAGGATCATTCTCACTCTTTGAACAAATTTATCTCTGAGGCGTATAAGTGGAACCCGTCAATACATGTGCCTATGACAGCAGACTTGAGCCGACTAAGTCCTAAGTCATGACTCTGCAACACAACGGTACAAATTATGCGAGTAGAAAATCTAATTTAAAGAATAGCTTTGAGCATATTTCATACTTATTTGCACACCCCATTTCTGCATGACGGGGTTTCTCGAAATTTTGGCGCGACGAAGAAAGATGGATGGAAATGGGCTTAATGATAAACTTGGATATCATCCGAGTTATATTATGATTGCTGTCGTTCACAAGTTTCAAGCCACAGAAGATGACCTCCTACTTGTTCTCTATACATGCAACCTTCGCTTACACCCACAAAGCTGATCAGTCTTGGCCTAGACATCAGCAGGAACAACCTGACAAACAATTCATCGCCTAAAATGAGCCCGAGGTGAGCTGCTGCCCAGGAAATACGGTGGCTGGATGTTTTAGAAAGTAGCCTATCGTATCTGCCCGTCATCTCGGTGAGTGATCCAGTGAATCTATCATTGGCTCTTTGCCGCAAGACTGAAAGCAGCTGAGACGCCATGGCTGGCTGAGCGCCCCATGCTTACTCTGTCGTTCTGACTTCTTTCCCGAACAAGAGATATCTTATGCTGATATGCGCCACCATTACGAATCTGAAGAACATTTTACAGGCAGCACTTCTGCCTGAAACTTGGCAAAGATGTTGCAATCTTGTGTACATAGAAGTATGTATGACTTGCCGGCAACCATATATAAGCCATGTCCTGAGTATCTGATAGCCATTTACTGAGGGGTTATCTTCTATATTCTCATACCTAAAATCATCAATCGTCAGATTCACTTTTCTCTCATCATGTCTTCAGATGGAACTGAGGGACCCGTGCTTGTCCGCGGCATCAAGGCAGACAATCCAGGTATGTTTTCCTGTCAACTGGCAAATTCCACTTTTATGATACATAGCTCACACCTGAAAGCCAAACCACCTGTGCGCATAGAAGTCCGCGACATGATCAAGGACCACCCTGATCAGTGGAATTTGTATCTCTTAGGCTTGGAGAGGTTCCAAAACTCGGTGAAGGAGGACTCGCCTCTCTCCTTCTTCGAGATTGCTGGCAAGTACAAGTTTTTCAGTCTGTGTCAACATCCACCAACCCCCGACAGTACAGTGGCCCCGGTCATACCTCGTCACCCACCCCTAGACTATGTGTAGGGCAAGTAGGACGAGGCTCCCAACCAACTATCACTGGATGCTCACATCCACACTTCCCCGATAGTCTAGTGGTGAGGATATCTGCTTGTCATTGGGGAATTATTCCCTGACAACGATTCGCAGGGGACCGGGGTTCAATTCCCCGTCGAGGAGTCATCTTTTGCTTTTTGCTTAAATGAGCTATAGAATCCTGTTCTTGAACGTCTCCATGTCTCATTCTCATCATTTTGTGACGTTCTCGTCCGATTAGAGAAGTGCACTGGGAACTGGGAGATGGAATGAGGATTGTATGGTTCTGACACCAGCAGGCATCCATGGGCTTCCGTACAAGAAGTGGCCAGACAGGGGCTGGAACAACAAGATGGTCAGAGTCGACAATGATTTCGGCGGATTCTGTACTCATAGCTCGATCCTCTTTCTTACCTGGCACCGTCCATACCTTGCTCTCTTCGAGGTAAGCTCCCCTGACCACCGTCAAACAGACATATTCTAACGTGGCTCAGGCCGAGTTGTACAAGCATGTCAACGCTGTTGCGAATGAGTTTGCTGAGACTGAGCGCCGAAGTGACTATGTGAAGGCGGCCAAGGACTTCAGAATGCCATACTGGGACTGGGCTCGGCCTGATCTTGGAGTCTTTCCAGCAGAGGCTACATCCCAAGCTAGGGTCCAAGTCAAGCGTCCCCATAATAACCAGAAGGATTCTCGTATCGATCCAAACCCACTGGCAACCTACAAATTCCGAGAGTCGCGCACGAATACGAGCATCAATCAGGTACTTTTATCTTTAGACCAACTTCATGTCTGCGTAATGCTGATCGGCGCTCTTAGTTCCCGAGGGTCGGAGGCACCATTCGCTACCCAGACCAGCCCAACAACGACAGAATGATCCAGAGACTGACACAGTTCTTCTCTGGAACCGATCCTCAACAAGCTTCAAGAGGGAAGAATCTGACGGAGCGTGTTATCTTCATCCTTCAGTCGTATCGGGACTTTGGATCTGCGTCCCACAACCGATTCAATCCCCCGAGACAACCGGGTCAGCCCAACTTCGCCGAATGGGGCAGTATTGAAGATATTCATAATGCTATCCACACCTACTCTGGAGGCAGTGGTCACATGGGAAACCCAGCGATTGCCGCGTTTGACCCCATCTTCTGGCTCCATCACACCAACGTCGATCGGCTGTTTGCTATCTGGCAAGCTTGCCACGACAACCCCAACGACCCATCAACCTATGTGACTGACCAACGTGCGGGCGAGAGCTGGGGTAACTTCATCGTCAAAGCCGGTGACCCGGAGACCATCAAAACCCCGCTGGCACCATTTGCCCAGTCCGGTACGAAGGACAATCAAGTTTTTTGGACGTCCGAGGGTGTCAGATACACCACTGAGTTTGGATACGTCTACCCGGAAACTCAGTCCTGGAAATTTCCTACCAAGGAGTCCATTCTTAACGAGCTGGACCGGGTGTATGGTAAGACTGCCTCTTTTGCCAACATCTTGAGAAGTGGTGAGGAAGATTTCAAATCCTCTACCGAAGAGTTCAAGAGTCGTGCCAAAGCACATTTGAAGGCCGAAAACACTCCAGTCTCGGCCTCAACCTTCTCGCTGGCTGCGGAACAAGATGAGCAAGAACCACTCCAAGAGACCAATGAGCCCGACGATTTCAGTCTTCCAGAGGATCGTGGCCTGAAGAGCTTGATCGGTACCGACAACAAGTACCTTGAATGGCTTGTCAACATTAAGGCCGAAAAAGCCGAACTCGGAGGCAACTACGTTGTCCACGTGTTCCTGGGTTACCCTGATGATTCGGTTCCCTTGTTGTATGTGACCAACCACTCTCACGTCGGTGCCTTTGCCACGTTCGGCCAAGACGAGAATACCTCGTGTAAGAACTGTCAACAGGGCCGTGCTTTAGGACAGAGAATCACCGGCCAGGTCCCTCTCACGCTCGCTCTCGTCGAGCGATATGTTGCTGGCCTAATCGATAGTCTTACGCCGCAGCATGTCATCCCCTACTTGCAGAAGCACCTCCATTGGCGTGTTACATTGGCCAATGGTGATCTCCAGGCCAGGAGCAACCTCAATAATCTCTTGGTTAGTGTCGTTACGAACGAAGTAACCATCCCCAGCAACCCGTCGGAACTTCCACGATACGCCGATGAGGTGATTCCCCAACCAGATGTCACCACTAACCGTGCGGGAAGTGGCCGTGGCGATGGAACTGGTTACGATGGTACCAACTTCTAGTTCAAAGACAGATAGTCTAAGCGTCGAGGCATTGATCCAGAAAATACGACTGGAATATGAAGGAACAAGATTTTGATGAGTTGCGGACGTTTTCTATTGTTGAGCTGAAGGATCAGTCAACTAGGAACCTAGCTAGAGACTACATTTATGTTACGATGTTGTCCAAGCAAACCCTGTGATGGAATAACTTAGCGCCGTTAAAACGACAGCAGTCCAATTGATTCATGTTATGACATACTCTCCGAGATGCCTTCAGAGTGAGGTCCAAGGGCGAAGATATCGGGGTTCAACAAGTCGTCAGTTGAAAGGAATGAGGCGCATCATAGATGAAACTATGTCCATTGCGGTGATAACGTGACCGTTGAGGTGAGCCTGGCTAAACAGGTTACCCGGATCTGCAAGCCGAGACTCCGCCTTTTTGCGCGTTTGCTACAACAGACACCAACAGGAGCGGCTGGGAATTGACTGGTGAACGACTTTCGCTTTCTGGTTAGAGACGCAAGAGAGCGGGCCGAATCGGTGGCTCTAAGTCACTGCAACTCGCTGCAACTCGACTTCAAAGGGTCTAGAACAGTGGATTCGGACAGGGGACAGGGATCAGGGTGGCTTAAGGTTCTCGATCATGCTGTTGGAACATGGTCTTTTTTCCCTCTTTGCTTTGCTCTTTTGGCCTCTTTTTTCTTCACTCAATTTTCTCTTGTGGTACCCATAGACTCATGCAGTCGCTTATCCTTTTACTCCCTTGGCGTCTGGGATTGCTCCCGGGGCAATGAATAACCGAGGCGGTCGGATATCTTGCTGACAGCCCAGCGACATGAGAATCCACCCATGCCAGTGTTGGTGTGATTTTCTGCCCCCCTCTGGTCTGTTGGTGTGGTTGGTCCAAAGTGCGAAGTACAGCACGAAACCCCTGTCACAAGCAGCTCTAAGGGAGTCCGGACGATTGGCCGGCGACAGCGCACGTTGTCTGAGACCAGCGCGACGCCCAGATGGGGTTTTTGGTCTCGTCAGCCCAGTGCAAACCGTATCCAAGCCGCCGGTTATCCGTCTTTGCTGATCTAAAATAGCCTGACAGCTGCCACGAGAGCCACTAAACAGCCCTCCGTGTATGCGATTTGGCGGGATTCCGATACACTTACGGTCGACTAACCCACCGCCGATGACGTTGCCGGCTCCGGTATCCGTACATCTTCTCGTTCTCAACGTCGAAGGAAGCCCCCCACAAGGCTGGTTCCCTCTCGCTCGGTATGCACGTCCCTTACTCTTTAGATGTTTCGATCGGGTCTCAACGGTGTGGTTGGCTGCGACTACGAGGCGCCACGGACGACACGAAGGTGGACTAGAGCCAAGCTTTGCAAAAGATGGCTAAGCAAGGCCGGCCCCTCTACAACATGGTATCTCAAGACTCACAGACCTCAATATTGCCCGGTGCTGCCTGGGAATAGTGGGCAGATACGTTTATTCATCGCGGAACCCTTGCTGCCGATATAGATCCTTGCCCTGAATGTCAGATATCCGACGATGCACGGTCCTTAAGAATTACCTGGGTAATAGCGGAACCTTTCTTCTAAACAACCGTAGCATTTGCCTATTTAATCTTAAATCTAGAGGCACAGCTGCAGGTTGGGTTAGGCAGACCGTTGCTAGGCTGTCTACGCACTCAGTCGACGAGCGGTTTGATGTGACGGACAGGGGCCGCTCGGCCGATTCCGCACGTGTAGGCCGTCAGACGACAGGGATCGTGAGTGTCTTGATGGGTGAGCGGAAAGCCGCTAGTGTAGGATCCGGCATGACGTCCGGCTGCGCGGCAGTCTCCGGATGATTGGTCTTAAAAGGATCCTGGGCGGGCTCAACAAGCTTAAGATGTCGGGCGAGCAACTTGACAGGGTCCAGGGTAAAAGCCAAGTTGGAAAGATGGGTGTCTGCTGGAGGAGGAGGAGGACAAGAGGCCCAGAAGGTCCCGAAACATCGTACCGCTGAGCAGATCTACTACTTTCAGTCTCCAGAAATGTTTCCCGGGTCGTGTTTTGCCGTCGATCTCTCTCGACTTCGTATCCGATCAGCGCAAGGAATAGGAGCTTTCGATGGGCTTCACTTTGGATGACATATCGCGCCAAGTTCACGAACCTACACGAACTCTTACAGCCGCTTTCTTACTCACGTCTTCGCATCAAACTCCGCGTGAAAGCTATTTCCCTCACCGCCAGCAAGAACACTTCGGACTCATCGCACTCACGATGCAGAGTAAGCAGAGTCGGGCGAGGCAATTTCCCACGGCAAAAGCGGCCTTATCCAAATCATCAGGCTTGGCCCGCTGCATCTTTTCGCGCCATCGTCCAGCGGCACAGCAGGCACAAGAGGCACAAAATGGCACAGCAGACAGAGAAATCACTTTAGACATTGGAAACTGATATCCACACAGCCCATTTGTTCAGAGACGTATCCAACGGCGTCTCACAAAGCACTCGCCCCCTGCTCTTTTCATGTAGCCCTATCAGGCAAGCGCCCTTCGTAACCCTGTCAGAGACGAGCAGGCCCCCCCTTGCTTGTCTGTTTGACGGTGGGAGTTTGAGGCCGTGTAGTTCCAGCCGCATGTACCGCCTACCGTTGGCCTACCTGCCTATCTCGCGATGGAGTCAGGTTGTCGCCATGCCAGGGGGTGTGATCATGGACAATGGCGTACAGCGCCAGAGGGGCGGTACCGTGGTCGCCATGGCCGGTTCGCAAGGCAGAAACCGACATGATGGGTAGACATGCAAGCCATACCTGACATGGCCCCCTCTTCAAGTGAAGGAGGCCACGATACATAATGCAGCGGTCGCGGCCTTTGGTCTCCCATGTGGCACTGTGGTTCTCCTGCAAGATCTGTAAACTCTGATTTCCGTGTCGATCAAAGTTGATATCGACGACTTGATCTACGTATCACGCAAGCTCTTGCTCGCTGTGACGATGAAGTTCACTACCTGTCTCGCCGGCCTTCTGGCCGCAGTCACACAAGTACAAGCAGCGTCCGTCTTTGCTCACTTCATGGTATGTTCGCCTCTGATGCTGGCATCCCTGCCAGGTCTTTGACTCTATCCTTCCATGTCTCAGCTGCTAACACTCATCACCAGCTCATCAACACCAAGAACTACACTCTCAGCGAATTCGAAGATGACTTCAAGATCGCCAAGGACGCCCACATCGACGCTTTCGCCCTCAACATGGGCCTGACAGACCCCAACACCAACTCGTCTCTCGAGACTGCCTTCGTCGCCGCCAAGAATGTTGGATTCCAGCTCTTCTTCTCCTTCGACTACAACGGCGGCTACCACGGGGGCAAGCCCTGGCCCAAGGAGACCATTCTGGACATGGCAGACAAGTACTTCAAGCTCGATGAGTACTTCAAGTATGCCGACAAGCCACTCGCCTCGACCTTTGAGGGCACAGAGAACGCCGAGTATTGGATCGAGATCAAGAATAAGACCGGCGCTTTCTTCATCCCCGACTGGTCCTCCGTGTCTCCCGAGGACGCACTGGCACTAGGAGGAGGCGTTGCTGATGGGCTTTTCAGCTGGAACGCTTGGCCAGTTGGTGACCAGGACATGACTGATAAGAGTGACGCTGCTTATGCTTGGGCCCTGAAGGGCAAGCCCTACATGATGCCCGTTTCCCCCTGGTTTTACACCAACCTGCCTGGCTACAACAAGAACTGGGTGTGGCGCGGCGATGATCTCTGGTACGACCGGTGGAACCAAGTAATGGATGTGATGCCTGCGTAAGTCAACCATGGATGAACCATTTTCTCCCCATTGTCATTCGAGTAACTGACAGTTCGCAGCTTCGTTCAAATCATCTCCTGGAACGATTACGGCGAATCGCACCACATCGGGCCGGTCCGCACCAACGCCATGGAAGCTTTCGAAGTTGGCGAAGCCCCCTTCAACTACGCCCTCGACCATCCCCATGACGGCTGGCGTCACTTCCTCCCCTACCTCGTCGACAGCTACAAAGCCGCCGTGCCCCCTTCGATCAAGGATGAAGCCCTTATGACATGGTACCGCGGCTCGCCAGCCCTCTCCTGCAAGGACGGCGGTACCACAGCCAACACCGTCGCACATGACCAAGAGACTCTGACGGCAGCTCAGGTTGTCCGTGACAAGATCTTCTACTCGGCCCTCCTCACATCCGCTGCAGAGGTCACCGTCTCTGTTGGGGGCAACGCACAGAAGGGCAACTGGACCTCGACCCCTGACGGCGGCAAGGGCGTGTACCACGGAAGCATCCCCTTTCTGGGCACCGGCGACGTCGTCATCACCATGACCAAGTACGGGACCGAGATCGCCAAGATCGATGGGCGCACGATTGCCAATGAATGCCCCGGTGGCTTGACCAACTGGAACGCCTGGACGGGCAGCACAAATGCCCTCCATGTCGATGATCCGAGCCCGTCACCCACGCAGACGGGAGGTGGCCCCCAATCCACGGCCAGTGACAATGACTCTGGGGCACCCAGCCTCTCGCAAAGCGGTTTTGTTTACGTTTTCGTTGCTATCGCCAGCTTGGCTGTTGCTGGAGTAGTGTGAACGGGCCAGTGACTGCAAAGCGTTGGGACACACCAAAATACCAATATTCGAACGTCTCTACCTCCCCGGGAGACTGCGAATACGACCGCGAGGCATCTCAGTGAGCTTAGTCGAAGCTTAGAGACAGAAAGAGGCATCAGACTTGACTAGTCTCGAACATGGGCATAACTTCGTAAGTACAGCCTTCTTGGCCCTCGTTCATCATGCAAACGGCTAACACATGCTTCCAACAGAACGTCTCAATTTGGCGTCGAATTTTCACTTCTCCTGTTCATGTTTACTTCAATAGGCATATCCTGCCGCATCCACAATTTTAATGCACGAGTTCAGGAACGATAGCGTTATGAAGCTTTATGATTTTCGACTGGCAATTTTCATGTACAATACCAATACCCCTCTATATAGAACTAGATAGAACACACCTCAATTCCTACGAGCACGAGCTTCATGGGCTTTCGCAAGAGCTTTGTAGCAAAAGGTCTCGATCAAAAACACACTTCCACTACGCCGTTCACGTTGGGAAATAATATAAAAATGTCGCACGTGAACCCCAGGACGAATAATCTAGTGCGGGTGTTCACTGACGATAATCTTGGCCTCCAGTCGCGCGACGTAATGCCCGATCTCGGTGAACAGACTCACCGAGGGCGGGGATCAGCATCCATGCAGCGTGGGATCCAAGGTTGCGATCATCGAGCTGCCTTTCCGGGACTAGACGACGCGCTCAAGTAATTCAACTTCAGAGCTGCATTCTTCAAACGGGGCATCCGGGACGTCATCCGATCTCACATCCTCCATCCTATCTTTAACCTCAACACCCCTCCCTTCAACCTCACACATCCTCAACTCGCTCTTTTAGTGAGATCAACAGATCCGCAATGCATTGGCTAATACCACTACTCCCGGCCGCCGCTTTGTTCTGGCAACAGGTGGCCAGCGATCCAACGCCAAAATATAATCCTCTACCGCCTCTCCGCGATCAAGCCCGCATCCAGGATGCATGGACTGACGAGCGCAAGGCGGGCATCCCCGCCCTCCTCAAGAAACACGGCGTCGACGCCTGGCTGGTTCGCCCTCGCTCACTCACACTTCATTCCGCAAGATGACGAAGCTGACACAGACAATAGATAAGCCAACGGGAGTACGCCGAAGAAACAGTCTTCTGGTCGCTTAAACCGGCATCAACCTTCTCCGCCCGCCGCCGCACAACGTGCCTCTTCCTCGCCGAGCCCCTCGCCTCCACCAACTCCTCTGACGGCACCACCACCACCACCCTCCCACAGCAACCCGGGTGCATCATAGGCTGGACTGCAGACGTATGGGCGACGCTCAAATCCCAGCTCGAAGCCGCGAACCCAGCCACCATCGCCGTCAACGCGCACCCGGAAATCGCCTTCGCCAGCGGCCTGCACGCGGGCGAGTACCAGGCCATGGCCTCCGGGCTCGGCGGAGAGTGGACCTCGCGCTTGGTCGTCAAGCCCGAGATCGCCGTCGAGTTCATCTCGGCCCAGCCTGCGTCCAAGATGCCGCAGTACAGGGAGATCATGGAGACGGCGTGGGCGATGATTGCCAAGGGGTTCAGCGAGGCGGTCGTCGTGCCGGGGAAGACGACGACGGGGGATCTGGAGTGGTGGTTCCGGGAGGAGATTCTGGCGCACAACTTCTCGACGTGGTTCCAGCCGAGCGTGAGCGTTGTCGATGAGGCGCTGCCTTGGACTATGAGGTTGGAGACGACTGTTGACGAGGGTGCGGGAGGGAGAATCATTCAGTACGGGGATATGCTGCATGTTGATTTTGGGTTGACGGCCATGGGCCTGAACACGGATACGCAGCATCTCGGATACGTGCTTCGTCCTGACGAGACCGATGTGCCTCAAGATCTGAAAGACGGCTTGAAGAAGGGTAACAAGCTTCAGGATATCGTGAGGCGAAACATTGCTGTCGGCAAAACGGGCAACGAGATGCTTAAGGCGTCGCTGGGAGAGATGCATGCTGAGGGCATCGAGGGACGGGTCTACTCACACCCAATCGGTGACTGGGGACATTCTGCTGGTCCTCTTATCGGTAAGAAGCCTAGATGTTTTCGTTATAAGACCATTGATCTGGTGCGGCGCTGACTTCGTATAGGAATGACCAACATGCAAGAGTACGTGTCGGCGGCTGGTGAATTGGCAGCCATCCGTAGTATGTGGTTCAGCGTGGAGCTTCTCATTGAGCATTATGTGCCTTCAAGAAACACGACCCTCTGGTTTGCCCTGGAAGAGGATGTGTATTGGGCCGGCGAGAAAGAGGGATGGCAATGGGTCTACGGCCGACAGGAGGAGTTTCACCTAGTGAAGGCGGCTAAGCAGCAGGAGCAAATGCCGGAGGAGTTGTGAGATGAGTCACTCATTCATTCAACTTGTATCACTTCACTTCGTACAAGATATTGCACAAAAAAAAAAAAAAGACTGTTCGCTGACAAACCGAAAAAGGGGAATCTCATCATGAATTTGCTTTTAGTGCCCGTTATTTACAACACATACCAGTCTCCAACCCGCTTACGCCTTGCCATTCTCTCTCTTAATGGGAGGCAACAGGCTCTTTGTCATCTGTCTTGCGTGCTGCGCCATGAGCGCGTCCAGGAGGACGATCGCCGCCATACCCTCAACGATGGGGATGGCACGGGGAACGACGCAAGGATCGTGACGGCCCTTGGCGGCCAGCACGCCCTCCTCTGAACCGTCGTAGGTCGCCGTCGTCTGGTCCACGCCAATGGTCGCGGGGGGCTTGAAGGCGATGCGGAAGTAGATAGGCGCGCCGTTGGAAATACCGCCCTGGATGCCGCCAGAGTAGTTGGTCTTGGTGGTCAACTTGGACCGGGGGATACCCATGCGCTGGGCGTCGGCCTGAAGCTCCGACTCGGGCGCCTTGATGAAGGCGTCGTTGTGCTGAGATCCCGGGATCTCGCAGCCGCCAAAGCCCGAGCCGATTTCGAAGCCCTTTGTGGCGGGGATGCTGAGCATAGCGTGTGCGAGCGAGGCCTCGAGCTTGTCGAAGCAGGGCTCGCCGAGCGCGGAGGGCGGGTTGCGGATGACGCAGGTGACGGTTCCGCCAATGCTGTCGTCGCGCGCCTTATAGTCGCTGATGAGGTCAATCATCTTCTCGTTGGTCTCCTCGTGTGGGCAGCGGACGGGGAGGAACTGGTCGACGGTCTTGCGGTCGACAGTGTTGAGGAGCGAGAGGAAGGCGGGGTTCGTTGAGGGGCTCGGGTGCTCAGGGGTCGGGGGGAAGAGGTGGCAGTTGCCGACGCTCGTGGTGAAGGCGGTGATCTCGGTGCCATAGGCTTCGCGAAGATACTTCTCGGCGAGGGCGCCGGCGGCGACGCGGGCAATTGTCTCGCGGGCCGAGGAGCGGCCGCCACCGGAGGAGGCCTTGGTGCCGTACTTCTCGAGGTAGGTCCAATCGGCGTGAGACGGGCGGGGGAACATGTCCATGGTGGAGTTGCCGTAGTCCTTGGGGCGCTGGTCCTCGTTCTGGACGAGCATGCCAATCGGGGTGCCGAGGGTGACACCGAACTCGGTACCGCTCTGAATGACGACGCGGTCCTTCTCGTTTCTAGGCGTCGTGATGGAGCTCTGGCCGGGGCGGCGGCGGTTCAGCTGAGGCTGGATATCGGACTCGGTCAGGGCCATGCCGGGCGGGACGCCATCGACAATGACGCCGACGGACTTGCCGTGGGACTCGCCGTAGCTGTGCAGAGGGGCATCTTATGTTAGTCCACAATTGGCCACGAGAGACGGACAGGAGAAATTGGGTCGGAGGAGGCGACGCACGTCGTGACCTTGAAGTAATTGCCGAACGTTGACATTTTTGCTACCGCTATAAAGGGGGTGAAATTGGAGTGTGGGAGAGGAGAGGAGAGGAGAGCGGTATGTAAGTTTGGAAAATTATCTGGGCCGATGTTCGGTGAGTCAACCACAGAAAGAAATCGGCCCAAGTCTGCGGGGTGGAGGGGTTTTCTATGATGTAGTTGAATTGCCCCGTTAATCGGGTGGGTCTTGTTCATACAGGGGTGGGCAGCCTAATCAGAAAGTGGACTCTGTTAGATGCAATTTAATGAGAACCTCATCTCAACGCCTTGCTCACCCATTCAATCCGCCATCGGACGGCAGTAAGTTCATTCTTAACGCAACATTCCTCAGTCATAAACTCATCGAACTGAATTGAACTCATTGTTTTGCTCTCAATTTATCATCAAGTACTCTCTAATTCTTTGGATCACAGTCTGAACTTACGAAACTTTTCATAGGGGCTCATGAAAATGTCAATCTGAAAACATCAGCAGACCCCTTCCACCTAATACATCTCGCAAATCATCACAATGCTGTCACTTCGCGGCATCCCAGCAACTCTGTTCCGCATCAGACCCTCAATACACCAAAATCGCCGCCACACCCGCCTTTTCTCCGCCCTCGCCGCCTCACCAACCTCAAAGACTCAAGTCTACACCTCAAACTCCCGCGACCCCTACGTGAACCTCTCCATCGAGCACCAGCTCCTCCAAACGACCCCGTCTGACTCGACCGTCCTTTTTCTGTACACGAATCACCCTAGCATCGTCATTGGCCGCAACCAGAACCCGTGGCTCGAGGTCAACCTCCCACTACTCAAGTCTCTACCCCCTTCAGATGCCATCGACCTCGTCCGCCGCCGTAGCGGAGGCGGAACAGTCTTCCACGATGAGGGCAATGTAAATTATTCTGTCATCTGCCCGCCCGCAAACTTTGACCGCGACACCCATGCAGAGATGGTCGTCCGCGCCCTCCGCTCCCTCGGTGTTGAGGGCGCCGCCGTCAACTGCCGCCACGACATCGTCATGACTCTGCCCCCTCCGCCTTCCTCTTCAGGAACCTCCGACAAAGCATCGAATACCACCGCCTCCGCAGCAGCGGCATCATGCAGCAAACCCAATGTGAACGCGGAAAACACGTTCAAGATCTCCGGCTCGGCGTACAAGCTCACCCGCCTCCGCTCCCTGCACCACGGAACATGTCTCCTCTCGTCCCCGAACCTGCCGCGCATCGGCAGCTTCCTGCGGTCTCCCGCGGAACCCTTCATTAAGGCCCGCGGCGTCGAGAGCGTGCGCTCGCGCATCCGCAACGTGGGCATCGCCGACACGTCGACGTTTGAGGATGCGGTGATTGACGAGTTCGGAAAGATGTACGGTGACTTCACCATCCGGGCGGAGCTGGGCGAAAAGGATGCTCTCGGAGAGGAAAAGGTCAAGAAAGGGATCAGGGAGTTGCAGGTAAGCTGGCTTTTGCTCATTTTCTTCATTCGGCGATAGTCCTAGGTCTCTTCGGTCTACTTTGGGATTACCGGAATAGACGATGGAAATGGTGACAAGGTCAGGAACTAATGAGCGTTCACAGTCTCGGGAGTGGACATACGGCCAGACCCCTCTATTCACCTTCTCTACACATCCATCAGAAGACGATACGCGGGAACGTCCTCGTCTCCCAGGGAATGTGAGTAAATCTCTTCATTCGCAGTCTCTCCGCTTCGTTACCAGTTGATCTCGCTTGACGATGCTCAAACATGTATCCAATCTACTCATGACTGCCGACTGACCCCGTCTAGTTCAACCTCACATTTGAAGCCCGCCACGGCCTCATCCAAAGCCTCTCTCTGTCCGGGTTGTCCTCCAGTCAAGGGTTGACCAAGCTCTCGGATTCCATGATCAACACCCAGGTCTGGGAGGTCGCAGACTGGGCAGAGCGTCTCCGCGCAGAGGGTTTAGACCACGGCGAAGCGTTGACCGTGGGAGAGTGGTTGAACTCTGTGCTGGTTAATGGAAAGTAAGCCAGTTTCAAGTGTGAGTTGATGTCATCCTTGATAAAACGTAATCCTGTAAGATAAAGAAGTTGCGAGGCAGGATAGACAGAGCAGTGTATGATACCACATCCAGGATGACGAGCCTGCAGCAACACATCGTGCCTAGCAAGCCGTAATTAATAGCATCTCATCATTGTTACTTATCTCTCCATCATTAAAGTACATACGTGTTGTTCGAAGCATTTCCTTTACCAGGGTCCTTTACAATAACCCTAAAGTTATGTTCAGTCCTTTTTCCTAGTTGTCTATCTTTCTAAATGTGCACGTCCGGCTTCCATTTCCGAGCACGTGGAACGTTAGAACGTGGAACCTCACAGAAAAACGATTTTCCAATGGTTTATTTGTTCCATTCCGATGCAAAACACTCAAGTTTTTTTCTTGCCAACTCCTTCATGTCGCTTCGTCCCTGGACCCAGTCAGCCATGGCTTTACCGCCGCCAGAGCCCAGGCCCTGGAGGCCACGAATCGCCCCTCCTCTGTCACCCTTCACATTTCCTGACATTTTTTTGAACTTCCCCTCCAAGCGGTCGATAGCGATCTCGAAACCAATGATATTCTTCTTCGTCAGTTCAATATACCGCTCAGGAGCAGCCGACACCTTCCTAGGGCCGGGTTTATCCCCATTCCCTGTGTAATCCATGACAGACGTCTTAGAGTGTCTGGACAGGTCATCGATCTGCTTCGACAGGAAGCCAGATGCAGTGTCTGACTTGGTGTCGAAGTGAATAGCTGCTCGGCCGTCATCCTGAACAGCGGCAGTATATTTGGTCGAATCGACATCTGACTTTGAGCCACTCGAGGTGGTTGATAATAATAGTTGGCTCGACTTTGTGTCAGGAGTTAATGGCTCATAATACCTCGCTCATAAATAACATTATGTTTGGGCTACTTACGAAGTAATAGGAGTCAGTTCCAAATTGTCTTTAGTGGAGTTTGTGGTGATATCGCTCACCCTGCTGTGAAGATGAGAGCCTGCCGGCAAGACCGAGAGGAAGGACTATGAAGGGACGAAGCGCCCAACTTCCTTTCCGCGTATCATCGATACATCACAAACAATTGCATCAACGATATCTCTCAACAACTTCAAGTAAACCATCAGACACGCGAAACATTCCAGTTGGCCCATGAGTCACCAATCTTCTTCTCAGAATCTCTCACATCTGCAACGTTTCAACAACCATCCCCATCACTCACAACATCCGCTCTCATCCTTTCTCACCGCATCGATATCAAATGTGATCGACAGCAAAGCAATGAGACAACAACCAAGACGATCCTCACCCACTACGCTCTCTTTTTCCAAATAGTTTCCAACCCAGTAAAGTCAGAGGACGGGTCTCAAAAACTTTCAACACTCCAAGACCTCACATTCCAAGAAGGAGTCGAATGTAAAACCCCCCGAACACGAGACAAAGATAGACAAAAATCACTTGCGAAGTTGGCTTGAACTGAGACATCAAGCACCCCTGGTCAAGTTTTTTCCCGCCTCACTTCCGAAGCGGTTTCCGACGGTGTAACAATACAACTTGATGAAAGATTGGGAAAAAAACGCAACGGCTTGGTGGGTGTACCACAGTGCCACAGTGCCACAATCCTGATCACTACCCACCTCCCATACCACCCCTTACTATCCCATCCGCGATATTCACTGCACTTTCCCCCAGGGTTTGCCCATCTAGCATCACGAGTTTCTAAACCGGCGATAGGAAGGGGCTCACGAGGCGGGAAGGAAGGGGGGGGAGGGGGGGGGAGGGGGCTGGTGAATGAGACATCTCCAAATCAAGTCACGCCCTCCCACCTCCAAAAAGAGGGTTGGCAGTCCCAAAAAGTTCTGGGTTTTCGTACATTAACAGTCTCATTTGCCACAGCAGTGGTTCACATGGACCAAGTAGTACCATAGTAAGACGTTCCGTGTTCGTTTCTTCAAAAGGCGACCAGCCACACGATGACCTACTCTACTTGACGTTATCTAGCATGACCGAAGATCAAGACCCTGAAATAAGCCACCTCCCTCACATGTATATCCGTCTGCTCCAAAAACCTGGAATTCCTTGTGTTACGCCTCCCCCTTCAGTCCGGATCTAGCTACCTCGAGGTAAGGTAGCACACACGCACCATGAATCAAAGGGGCGAGGGAACGTTTCCTCACACGCTGATGTAAGTGCCAACACCTTTCAAAGGGTCATTGAAAAGACGAATAAACAGAGATATAGAGAGGCAGAGGAGAGATAGGAACGTACCCTACCTACATATCTATCTATCTGCCTGCCTAGTGAGCCACCAATCTCATGGGATCCCCAAAAAGACCTGCCAAGATCAATTTGACATGATGGGGAAAACGAATCTACGGTACGTCTGTCACCTGTGGCATCAGGTTGAGTAAACGTAGTGTAGATGGGACAAGAAAAAAGGTGTGGCTGCAGGACTGCAACGACTAGGCTCGCGTCAGCGTCAACCATTCACTCGGGCTCTCTTTCGTTATCGCCCATTTTCGTGGCACTGCCATGTCTGCTTGGGCGTCTGTTGCGCAAGTACCTCACTGTGTAGGTAGAAACCAGTCAGCCATGGACGGAGTCCAGAGATAAGGAAACAAGTGAATATGGGCGTGTGTCTGTACCCCCCCCCCCCCATCGACATGTGAGTCTTCCCAAGTCTCCGGCCAAAAAGAATGACTCTACACTGCTTGTCGCTGCGGATGTCTCGGTCGCTCGCGGTCTCACTAGGGACTGAAATGGTATAGGTGGCTTGCTTTCGTATCGCACTGCGCTTTCCCTGACTGTGTGCCCCGTGTTCGTCACACCATCACATGTATGCCTATACTCTGTGTATACACAAAGTTTCCTCCTCCAAGCTCCAGCCTCGTCTCGTCCCTTTCCATCATCGTCATCTTCTCCCCTCTCATCACTTTTTTCTTCCTCACCCGAAAAGAAATCATTTCCCCTTCGTGCTACCCTTCTTGTGTAACTAGAGCTAGAGGAGAGAGGAGGAGGAGGAGGAGGAGGAGGAGGAGGAGGAGGAGGAGGAGGAGGAGGAGGAATGGGGGACGGGTGGGACACCACCACCAGCTCTGGAATTTCTGCAGTGACAAACTGAACATTCCATCACCCCCTCCTCCTTCTCAACCTTGATCCACCACGAGTAAATCCGCTCCGAAAGGGAGGAAGGGTCATGCAGGGTCTAAGAACACAAAAGACGGCTGATAAAAAGTCATCATTCTCATCGTCGTTTGATGTGTACACCAGCAGAACGAAACTCCATGTCTCGGACGTCTAGTCAGTCAGAGAAATAGAGGAATAAGAGAGAAACAGACGTACCTCTGTACTCCGCAAATCAGCTCGATATCAAAAAAGTGTCTGCTATTCATGGCCAGCACCGCACCCCTTCTCTTCGGTCCTGGCAGATGAACCAGAACCCCAGAACCCCAGAACCCCAGACCTTACTAGACCAGACCATCGGCGAAAATAGGATGACGTGCAGCAAAAAAGCATGGAGAACCACAGCTCGCCCATCCGACTGGCACCTACCCGCTCATGCCCACACTCCCGAACCAACCAAACTTCTCGCACACTCATTCCACTGGCCTAAGCGTGAGAAGACGGCTCCCGGGGAGGGGGGCAGCTCTGAGCTTGTAAACCACGCAACCACGCAACTGCCCATCCAGCCATCAAATCTCCTGGTCAAAGGATTCACCGGATGTCACAGAAACCGTGATAACAGGCAGAAAAATGCCCAGAATCTAGGTGGGTTGCTGCGCCGCGACCGCGCATGCAATGCGAGGGTGAAAACGAGTTGATCGGCTACGAGCTAGGCGTTGGATCTGCTCATCTCGTCAAAGATCACGACCCCTCATCCTCCTCACTCCTAACACTGATGATGTGCACTGCACATCAGTTTAGCAAACCGGGCCTTTTCCCCCCCATCGCATGTCACCCTACAGAGAAGCCATGACCCTGATTTCCGCCGATCACCGTCGACGCCGTTGTGTCTTCTGTTCCCTTTTCGCACCTGTATTCCGGTATTCTTGTTCTCGTCCTGGCCACCTGCGATAAGTGATGGACTAAAACAAGCCAATCCAAAGCTGCGAAACCGAGACATTTTGGAGAACCCGGAGGTGCGGGTTGCATCGGGTCCAACGTATGGATGTGTGGGCAGGCAAAGGCAGGCCAAACTGCGGAAGATAAGGGAACCGTATGCTAGCACGGCTTGTACGGGGCTAGGCCTCTCGCCTCAAGGTATGTATCCGTAGCCCATCATGTAAGTCACTGCATATGGTTGACTTCTCGAGCTGTCGACGCACCAAACTTGCACACCGGCCCGGAGGGGGGTGGCCCTGGTGGGTGATGGAAAAGTGGTCGCCCGGTGTGGAAAGCCAATCAACTTGCCCCATTGCCCAGATCTTGAATGCCGATAGAGTATTAACACCGAGAATGAGCGAAGATGGAGTTGTTGGGAGAGGATTCAATCACATCTTAGGTCAGCGCCAAATCGGTGTGATTCCCTCGCACTTGTACGGAACGCCGTCTCGACGAATAATCGCGACCGTACGGCCCTCCGCACATTCCGCATTTTTGGTCTCCAGACAGCGACTCCTCCCACCACCACCCTTTCCGTACCCCAGATTCACATGTTGCTTTTTTTTCCCTGGGCCCTTGGGGGCAGGCAGGCAGGGCAGCGGGGATGGTGCTGGAGCTGTGCAGAACCGACAACAACAATAACAACCTCATGTGTCTTGCATCATTCCTGAATAGAGTTTCCTTCCCCAGAGAACTGCGAGCGACTTCTTCCTCCGGCGTGATCGTAACACCGAGTCAAGTCCCTGTCAACGGAGCTTTGGTCCGAAGACAGAGATCAGCCCTTTATTTTTCGCCGTGGGTGATGAGGGTGGGAACAGCTGGTATTACTGGACAGTACATGTTTGATGGTCTAGACATGGTGGGATGCCCTGCGCCATGTGGTAAAGCTAGCCCGTCAGCCAGCGAGCAATTATGATGCCATGATGAGAAAAGAGAACCGACGAGAGGAATTTCCCTGTTCAGCTGTCTGTCTGGGGAAAAAGAAGATCCCATGGCTGCCGCCGCTACTTTAGTCGAGCGGCTTCCGGCCTCCCACACTTTTC